TGCTCTAGCCATATAATGCCGAAACCACAAGCCTACTGCAGCTCTATCTCTATCGGTGGGAGGTAAAAACTCTGTGCTTCCCGTCGTCAAACGCGCCAAGCAAAGGCATACGAGAGGACCACAATCCCCTCTGGCTCCCGGCGATTGCTGTGCGCGGTCTCGTCTCTGACAACTGTGACATTGAACTTCTTTGGCTTCTTGTGTCCAGAATGACTCCAATACTTAATCCCATCCAAGAATTTAGCCAAATGAGAGCTACATCCCTTGAAAATATCTCTCAAATCAGACAGTGATATGTAATTGATCATGCTGTCATACACTATTATCTTCAGGGATGGGAGCTGAAGTTGGACGAGAAGCCAGTGACGACGTTCCAAAACAGGGATAAACACCTGCGATCATAAGTAATAATTCATTTATTTGCGCACTTATTTATTAACACCTTTAAAAAATTTAAAAAATTAACACTAACCTTATCGACCTCCCACCATGCAGGATAAAGTTTAGCTTGTCCATTGCCCAACAAAAATGATTCATCTCGTTGATTCTTCAAGTGAACTGCGTGAAAAGCCGTCGGCATTATTGTATATAGCGAATTTTTTTTATTTTCCTAAGCTTCCTTATTATTAGTAGACGTAACACCCATGCATCGATATGTTGTTTTACAAAAAAATACATATATTAGTGAATTACATTAATTTTTAAACAAATTAATCAAAATCATATATAAGACAAATATAGTCTTACCTCCCCATCCAAATAGCCACTGTCTTCAACCCCTAATAGCACACCCCACCAAGACCGATCAAGCAACAAAACATTTCATCGTTGAGTTTGCTGATGTCAGTGTAACACCCTTGGCTCCGCTCATGTAGATAAAAATCAACTGCGGTCTTAGCCCAAAGGGTATTATCCACAATTGTTTCCGGTAGTTGTCTCCTCTCCACTTCAGATACCGGAAGGGTACTAGCCGGTAACTCATACGAGAGCCAACTCTCATCCATCATGTCCGGAACCGGTGGGGGTTTCTCAATACTTCGATATATACCCCATGTGAATCGGGCTCTGGAATGGTGGGAGGGACCTCTTCAACGATGACAGTGGCCTCTTGAACGGTGGGGGGGGGGAATCTTGAGGGAGAATAGGGGCCTCTTGAACGATTGGAGGGGACTCTTGAGGGATGACCGGTGAGTCGGGCTTCTTCTTGCGGAGTCTTCGCACCATTGGGGTGAACGGAGACGTAATAGCACATCCACGCCGTCTGATGCGTGAACTCCGTCGTGCAAGGAAAACCCGACGTAAAGCATCCACCTTATCGGCCGCTAAAAAAAATTAATACATAAATCAGTAAATAAACAACATGATATTAAACAAAGACAAATATGTTTCAAACTAGCATTGTATTCACCCAAATCATTATTCTATCATAGTTCACAAATGCTCAGATAACATTCCAGAAGTAAGCACTTATATAACATTTAAAAGGACAACATATATAAACATTCCAGAAGAAGAATAGTTTACTTTCGCAACACGAAACTTAAAATCGCAACGCGAAATGACTATCGCAACGCGGAAATGGCTATCGCAATGCGAAATGAAAATCGCAACGACAAAATCGCAACGTGAAATGAAATCGCAACGACAAAATCGCAACGCGAAATGAAAATCGCAATGCGATTTGTGTTTCGCGTTGCGATTTTGTCGTTGCGATTTCATTTCGCGTTGCGATTTTGTCGTTGCGATTTTCATTTCGCATTGCGATAGCCATTTCCGCGTTGCGATAGTCATTTTCGTGTTGCGAAAGTAAACTATTCTTCTTCTGCAAATTGAAACTTGAATGGATTGCATTACTTCAACCAAAAGACAAAAACAAAACCAAAAACAAATACTAACAAAAACAGATTGGCAGCAACCGAATGAATTACGAGTATGAAAAATCTTAAACTTACCTCATTGCGTAGAGTATGAACCTCATTCTGCAACGATGCTACCATCTCACGTAAGCGCTACCTCACCGCGTAATGTAGACACCTCAACACCCATGCACCATCGTCTTTGCGTAAAGTACCGACCTCCTCACGCAAGGCATTGACCTCATCACGTAACTCCCCTAACTCATCCCGTTGAGGTGGAGGTGGAGAACAGGGAGATAAACGTCGTGACATCTTTGCCGTCGCCTATCTTGCGGTGATGGTGGAGAGAGGCTCAATGATGTGAAAGAATAGGTGATGGCTGTCGTTGTGGAGGTGTATAGCCGGGTCGATCAGATGATGGCTCTAGTGAGGTGATAGCTCTGGGCGAGGTGATGGCTCCCGAAGTGGAGGCTGCTCATCAACCGTTCCATCAAAAAAACGCTTACTAGCTTGCCACCAATCAGTGGCAAGCTCAGCTTCCGTGGGTGTCTGTAGAGGAGTGTTGGCCTCCTAACAATATAAAAGCTTAAACAAAGTTAAATGTGTACTAGTAATAACTTGTTTATAAACATATGGTAGTATTTATGTTAACTTACATTATTTATTGTCGTATACCGTAGTAAATCTTCCCATTGCAAGGTTCGTTTCCTCTTCCAGGAAATAGCCCTGGGAATATTATTTGAAGTTTTTATTGCATATGTCTTCATGGCGGGAAATGCCTCAAATATCCAAATCTACAAACAATATAATAACAAACATTAGTAATTGTTAAATAATTACTTATAATTTTGGAAACATTATATAAAAATTCTTACCTTAAAGGCCCAAATAAAGCCTGTCAAAGTGTATTTGGAACCATCGCCATGCAAACTTTTTCGATCATCCAAGGCAGACGATAACTTATTCCATGTAGCTTTCCATAAATACGAGCCCCACGGAAACAGGTTCCACGCATTTAGTCTTCTACCAATTTGATTAGATCATTTGGAATAGGTTGTCTGGCCTCTCTGCCTAAAAGCCGGCATGCAAAAGAATTAGAAGGCATACTCGGACAACGTCGACGTCATCCATCCGAGTAAAACCATCTTTATTATTCAAAATCTTGTCAGGTCTTCTACGTGTAGACTCGGCCTCTCCAGCTCAGGGAAAACCCGAGATAGCCATGATGGGCGGTAATGTGTCTAGTGTACCGACCTACATCATCGTGTCCGAAGCGTAGACCGGTGATTAAGCAAAACTCCTCCCGCCCAAAACACGTATACGCCGGTGGAAAATCAAACCATATCTCTTCATCACGACGTTGTATAGTCTCTGGTAGATCTCTAGTCATGGTTTGAAGAAACAGGTGTGTCACATCGCATCTCCACCGGGATGTTGTACTTTCAGCCATGGCCCGAAGCATGTATCCTCAAACATTTTTCTTTGTGCAGGTGAAAGCTTCGACGCAATTGTTTTGGCCAGGCTGACTTTATTTCTCAAGGTCAATTGAGCCGAATAAAAGTTCTACAAAAACAATAACATACTAAATTAGATATACCAAAAACTACACTGTGAAGATATACCAAAAACAATAATAAACATAAATAGTAGTAGTTTATTCTTCAAACTTAAATATGCAACACTGTGAATTTCGTATTTGTCTTTGTTTTTTGGTTGAAGTAATGCAATTCATTCAAGTTTCAATTTGCAGAAGAAGAATAGTTTTCTGAAAATGAAAATCGCAACACGAAAATGACTATCGCAACGAGAGAATCGCAACGCGAAACTAAAATCGCGTTGCGATTTGCATTTCGCGTTGCGATTCTTGGTTGATTTAATAAGCAATCTAAGTGAAATGGTTAATCTATTATTGAAATTACCAGTAAACCTATCATCAATTTCAATATGAAAAACCTAATAATAATGCAAAAATTTCAAAAAGAAAATAATTAAAAAACTAACCCTCGTTGGTTGATTTGGTTGATTTTCCATTTCTGATTGTGAGGGTGGCTCTGAGAGATTTAGATAGACGGATTTCGCCGGAGATGGGGACGGATTTCGTCGGAGATGGGTGAGAGAGTGAGAGATGGAGATGAGACTGAGTTGTGATTTTAGGTTTTAGGTTATGAGTTGCGATTACGGGATATACTGTGGACAGTTCAGTGTTCCAATATATTTATATTCATGTTTGGAATTTAAAAATAAAATACTTGGCCAGGATACTAATGGCGCTTTGAAAATCGCATTGCGATTATGTATTATCGCGTTGCGAAAGTCAGTATCGCGTTGCGAAAGTAAGTATCTCGTTGCGATTTTTTATTATCGCATTGCGATAGTCAGTATCGCATTGCGATTTTCCCAATTCGCGTTGCGATTTACTTATTCGCATTGCGAATTTCCCAATTCGCGTTGCGATTTACTTATTCGCATTGCGAATTGGGAAAATCGCAACGATACTGTAGACCATCGCAACGCGATTTTCAACTATCGCATTGCGAAAATGCAACGCGAATTTGCGATAATGGAGATCGCGTTGCGAATTAGCGATCGCATTGCGATTTTGTTGGTCATTTTGGCAAATCCGGAAAAAGTTGGTTAAAATCGTATATTATATGGGATTTTTGGTCACTGAGGTTATTTTCTCTTTTTTATATATGGTTATAGATTTACGCAGAACTGTTTATTTTCTAAAAGTTCCAAGAACAATTATAATCGCGATAATCATTATACGTTACTTAAGAGTAGATAATCATTATGCAGCAAGAGTATAGAAAAGTGTATCTTCTTATTTAAAATGAAAAAACTCAAGAAAATAAAGAAATAAATGACATAATATGAAAAATAATAATAATTATTGGATGTTAACAATCAATATTAAAATTAGGATCGTCGTCACCTAAACAAAAATCGAAGAGAAAGGAAGAGACGACACTAAAATATTGAATAAAATTTAAATTAGAAAAAAGGTGTTGAATTAATTTCATATAAAAAAGTTAAATTAATTTAATTAGAGAATATTGAAAAAATTGTTAGTGAAAAATGTTCCAAAAGTAGGCTACAAAAAGAAAAGGAGCGACCATTTTCACATCTGGGAGGCGAAGCAGGTGGCAGTCTGTGGCTGAATTCACTTTTTAATGCCCTATGCATGCCAACTACGTCGCACTAATCACTCCTCCCTCTTTATAAACCCTCCCCTCCCACTTCACCATTCTCAGACCCTTCTCTTTTCTCTTATTTCCCATGGCTGCCTCCGTCGATCCTCTCGTCGTTGGACGTGTAATCGGCGATGTTCTCGACATGTTTGTTCCCACCGCCACCATGTCCGTCAACTACGGTTCCAAGCATGTCACCAACGGCTGTGACATTAAGCCTTCCATGGCCATCAACGCTCCTAAAGTCGCCATCGATGGTCTCCCTGATCAGCTTTACACTTTGGTTCGCTTTCCTTTTAACTTAATTATCAACTAGAATTGGGTATGATCGTTTAATGTTTGTTGATATGTCTGTGTGAGAATTGATGCATGCTGATGAATTTTTACCAGGTGATGACTGACCCTGATGCGCCGAGTCCCAGCGAGCCCAGCATGCGTGAATGGGTTCACTGGTACCTTTTTTTGAGCTATTATTTTGTATATAATTATGTTGTTCATCATTTTTCATCTCGTAAAGCATCACCCAAATCCTTGCTTCCTTGTTTCAGGATTGTTTCGGACATTCCTGGAGGAACCAACCCCACTCGAGGTACATATATATATATACATATATGCATAAGTTTGCTTATATTTTGAAAGCATTTTCATTCAAATATTTATGAACCTAAAATGATTAATTTAAATAATAATTTCCACTGAGGAAAAAAGTGCAAAGAAAATATATTTTTAGCATGTCTAAACCTCAGTGGTAGACATTTAAAATATTTCTTTGGAGGTCTTGAGTTGCTCTCGAATTTTTTAAGCAACTGTATCTATTTTGCAACCTTCTAGTTTTGAAAACATTTTGCAGCAGAGTAAATCTTGAAATATCTGTGCAACTGCACTGCTAAGTAAAGATGAAAGATCCAATACAACCTTAACAAATGTTGTTGTCCAAAACCGATATTCCCTCACTATGTAACCTAAAAAAACCTTATTGGCTGTTCCTGAAACACATTAATTATATATGGAAATTACTTAAAAAAACCTTATTGGCCGTTCCTGAAGCACAATAATTTCCCCCCTATATTTCTATTGTATTTGCAATTGCATGCATCACAGATCTGACACATGGTTAGTTGTTTGAACAAGTATCAGCCCATCTTTGATTTGGATATTCTTATACGCCACGTGTCATGTAACCAAAATGTCCTCGTGGCTTCAATCGAGCAAAAAGATTGTCCCAGCAAATGTATTCTAACTTTGGCAAACATCCTATTACTTGTGTGAAATTATTTCAGGGAAGGAACTGCTGGCTTACATGGGGCCACGTCCACCGGTAGGCATCCATCGCTACATACTGGTGCTGTTCCAGCAAAAGGGTCCGCTGGGTGCGGTGCAGCAACTGGCGTCTCGGGCTAACTTCAGCACTCGATTCTTCGCTGACCACCTCAACCTGGGACTGCCAGTCTCTACTGTCTATTTCAACGCCCAAAAGGAGCCCATCAGCCGAAGGCGTAGAGCTGAATCCTCTGTTATATAAACATAAAACTGGTTTAAGAAGTTTGGTTAAATGTTAATTATAGTTTTATGTAAGGCAGTTTGCTCAAATGTAATAGTAGTACGTTTGAGAAATCGTATGTCACTTCGTTCGGTTTATATACTCAACTCGTCTTCCTTATTCTAATTCGGGTCAGTGAAGTCCTTAAATTGTACCTTATTATTTGTTGAAGTCTAATGTATATGTCGTTTATATAATTATATTGGTTCGTTTGCTGTACAAGACTATGACGTGATATGGTGATTAACATTATTTATGCATGTAAAAGGGTCGGATATCTTTGCAGGAATTTGAGCATGTAAAAGGGTCATATATTTTTGTTTAGGAATTTGAGTTTGTAAGGTCGTCATTTTTTGTGAGCTAAATTTTAATTAAATCTTAGATATATTTATTGTGAGCTAAATTTTAATTAAATCTTAGATATATTTTGACTCTAAATTAAAGAGTGAGATATACTTTGGCCTTGGCTTTGGGGAACCACTACTGATCTAAACTTTATGTGACTAAGACTTTATATAACCAAACTTTATATAACCAAAAGATATAACCAAAAGAAAAAAAATATTACACACGGTTAAGCTTCTTAGTTTTTTTTTTCCTTCTCATTTGGGTTCAATCATTATTTTGGGCAAATTATAACTTTGAAAATAAAACAAAATATAATAGTAACTAAGTCAGTAACTTAAGATTATTATAAGAAAACAAACAACATTCAATTTGTTATTTTTTTAATATTATGAGGCTACAAGATTAAAAATTTTATTAATTTATTAACAACATATACATATATCAATTTATTGACAACATATACATACTTTTCATAGATTTCATAGACACAATTATTCGAACTTAAGATTTTTAAAGTTTTAAAATCTCTAGAGAAAACAACATTCTCTTTTATCTCGATGGATTTCTTAATTTATTGTCTTATATTAAAGGAAAATGTTAACTTAGACTCTAATCAATATAAATAAAATTTTTAAAGATAATTGGATTGGTAAATAAAAAATTTAAATTGTCTTAAAAATATTTATTTAAAAAAACGAATAAAACTGGATATTGCACCTCTTTTAGTGTATTTTATAAGAGATTTAATATATCATAGATCTTCCAACTTTTACAACAAAAATTAGTGTGGTCTTAATGTGACTTTTAATATAAAAAAAATAATCTAATTTTTTGACTAACGAAATCAAAATGTTAACATTTGCGATGTTAACGTGGTAATCCATGATGCTAGTGTTGACCATCACATCTACGTCATAACTATCAACGTTCTATTTCATTAGTGAAAAGGTCATGTTGGTATTTTTCCTCAATTTAAGAACTATATTAAATATTAAAAAGTTTAGGGGCCACATTGTTTTTTTTTAATAAAAGTTTGGAAGCCTCAAATATCACTAAATAAAAAAGTTGTTAGAAGGATTTAAACTCGTGTAAGTTAAGTTGAAAACTTAAATCTCGTATTTTTAAAATTTTAAAACAATTTTAGTGAAATACTAAAAACATATTTTTATGTTTTCAAATTTTCACTTATTTTTTTTATTTTCTATAAATTATTTTCTAATTTCACAATCAAACATTTTTCTTCAAGTTTTTCTATTTTTTAAGAAAAAAAATAACCCATATTTTTTAAAACAAACCCTCCCTTAATATCGAGAGTAACATTAAACTCACCTTTATCACGTTAATCATAAAGTAAATTTGGAATTTTTTGCTTAATACATTTTTTTCTCCGTGATTTACTAAAATTTTCAATTTAGGTCATTATTCAATCTGTCCACTCATTATCGTTTGGTAAATTATTGGAATAATTCTTTTTTTAAATATTTTTTATCAAAATAAAACCCAAATAACATTATTGATCAAAATAGTACTCTTTTTGTTTCCTATTGTAAACTCATAACAATGCATAAATATTAAAGTATTAAAATAGTTTTTAGTATATAATCAATTAGTGTAAAGCAATAGAATTTACATATCATGAATATACAAATAAAAGTTCTATGAATACATATTGTCCACTAAAGTAATTGATATTGTACGTTGATATCCAAAGGCATTGAAAAACCGATTGTAATAATACTCATCGACAATCCAATCTACTAACCAGCGAATGAAAACATTCGAACGTTGAGTTAACAAAGCTCAATAGTACACATAAACTCTCTTATATTACTTGTCGTTGATAAATGTAAACATGCTATGTCATCAATAAAAATTAGCGTAAGCATAAATACATAAGTGTAGCATATTATATCATTAATAGAAATTAACGTATATGAGTTCTTATTCATATGCTAGTTTCACCTAGCCTTAACTATCAATTCATACGCACAATGAACACACAATTACATAATAGCATATATACTCAACAATATTGACACTGATAATCATATAAAATCAGTAGCCTATGTAGTGAATATCAGTACCACATAACATCAATGGCAATTCCTATTACATGAATACACACGTTTGTTTAATCTAACATAGCTTCAGATTTTATGGTAGAAACTCAGTTTCGCATAACCTCAGTAACAATTTTCACAAAAGCCTCAAGAAGAGGCTGTTTGATTTCACATAGACTCAAGCTAAGCATGCATAAGCAATACATCAGACGTCAAGGCTCTTAACCCGCACAATCACATTTTTCATGCAAAAGTAAATATACACCTAACATTTAGTTTATGTTCCATTTTGATATCATATCGTTGAAAATTTAATGGTAATATTGTCGTGTCACAATAAGTTAATTTTTTAAAGACATGATATCAAATTAAAACTTAAATTAAACGTTAGATATATTTTTGAAAAAAAATAAAGTTTAAGTACCAAAACGACATCAAAGTAATATTTTAGATACTAAACGTATAATTTACCTTTAATATTTTAATGACAATCATCAAAATCAAATTAAATTGTCATATTAAATATGATTTTTTAAAATAATAATTACCTGACCAAAGTAAAATAAAATTAATAATTAAAATACTAAATGTGTAGTACCCATATTTAGCGAACAATCAAACCAAATCAATTCCGCACTTCATTTATTAAATGTCGTGCTTCATTTGATTGAGATTCCGATATTAAATGAGTGTAAAAGAAATCTCTTTTTTACATTTATATAAAATAAAATATATAAGACGTTATTAAAAAAATATATAAAAGCATTTATCACTTTATTGTCATTTTTCTATTGTTTTTTTTTTCTCAAACAATTCCTATTTAGAAGATAGAATAAATAAACTTTACTTCTTTGAATAATGAATCCATAATTTAAGGGAGAAGAAAGACGTTAAATGAGAACCTTTAATCATATATTCTAAGAATTATTGACTTTTCCTTAGTTAAAACTTATTATATATAATAATCGTATTAAATTATGCAAAACTTAAATAAGATCATACGGTCCAATGAATTTAGAATATATAAAACCTAATCATATCTGAAATTAAGATAAAGTAAAATTTTTAGTATATAAAAACTATATTAATATTATTTTTTAAAATTTGAAATATTACTAAAAATTATCAATTTTTATTATTGAATCAATAAAATTAAAACTTTACTAGAAAAACATCAAAACTCTTCCTATTACTCTAACCGATAAAGATTTTGAGCAGAACGGGAAGTCAAATCGGATTGATCCTTCATTTACATTTTACCCTCCAATTCCAAATTAAACCCCCCGCCTCAAATCCTTTCCGTAGCCTAAAAGTAAGGAACCAACATAATGGCATAAATGTAAAAAAGTTTACTTAAATAGAATATTATGGTCAATACATGTTGTCGTAACTGGTTTTTGTCTGGGTACGAAAAATTTATTTGGCGGAAAAATTGATGTGAATAAATGGTTTTTGAAAATAATTTGGGAGTCGCCATCGGCCTTTTTGGGTCAGGTAGGTCGAATACCTAAAAATTATTTTTTTAAAAAAGTTTTAAGAAAACATCATTAAAAAAATTGAACTGATCTGCGTTTATAACCAAAAATTCGTTCTTTTTAATAATAAAAAGGGATTCGTGGTCGGTTACGTTTAGGGAAGGATTAGCACCCCTACAACGCCCAAAATTGGTACTTTTTAATTATAAATTGTCTCTATTATTAAAAATTTAAAATATATTTAATTTATAATCCTATTATTTCAAAATTATATAAAAAATATTTAAAAATATCGGAAAAGGACTTCTAGGTGCCTTAAGACAGCTCTTTTCTTTGATATTAATAAATATTAATTTGAATAAAATTAAATAATAATTTTTTATAATATTTAATTTTAAAATACCAGAATAGGACATCCAGTTGTATTAAGACTGCCCTTTTCTTCGATAAATATTAAAATAATTTATTGAAAAAAATAAATTATTATTTATTATATATATATTTATGACTACATAATAATAATAAAAATATTTAAATTTATAAACAAATAAAATTAAAACAATAAAAATATAATTAGAACTATATGAAAATATTTAAAATTGGTGACTAGATTATAGTAAAATTAAATATCCAATTCATAATTAATCAAAATTATAGGGATTAAACATGCTATTTTCTTATTTATTAATTCAGTGACTAAAATAAAACTTATCTAAAATTCGAATATCATATTAAAATAAATTAAAAATATAAACTCGGGATTAAAATATTAATTATTAAAATTAAGGGATTAAATCTGTTATTTACCCTAAATATATTATTTTAATATAAAGGACTAAAATAAATAAAACTAAAATTTAAAGATCAAATTAAAAGGATTATAAATTGATTTAGTGACTAAAATGTAAGAGATACAAGTTATAATGGCTGCGGACGGGATTTAACAATTAAAATTTGCACAAATAGTCCTTCCCGAAACGACGTCGTTCGGGAAGGCCTATTTAAGGTCTGAAACGGCTGGCCCTTCGGGCCAGCCTTCATTTCTCAGTTTCTCCTCTCTCTCTCTTCTCTGAGAGAGAATTTTCTCTCTCGCTTCTCTCTAAAACAGAGAGAAGCCAGCCGGTCGGCAGCCGTCCGCCGGTGTTCTTCCGCCGCCGGCCACCGCCTTTGGTGGCCGGAATAAAATTT